CTATGGCGATTTGACGAATCAGCAAATGTAATACATTCGAAAAAGATTCAACCATTTATCAGAATATTATGAACTTATTTTTTATATTCTTGGTTGATCAATTAATGATGAAAAAATCAAAGTAAGTAAAAAAGAAAATACTTGTCATCTAAGAAAGCTCTTCTAAAGAAGTAATCAGAAAAAAGTTATGCGATTGAATAGAAACATAGAAAAGGATTGCTCTAGTTGATCGACAACTTCTGAGTCCATTGTTAGTTAAAACTTAGAGCAGGAGAGGATATTTTTCAGATAGTGTAGAATAGGTAGTCTCATACTATTTGACGAAATATCGATTGAGAAACTGTCCATCATGTGCAGTAAGAATAATAAAATTTTATTTATCATTAAATGTCAATAAATAAAATAATTTAATCATAGTAGTTCACTGTTTATCATTATAGTTAAAGTATGAAGTCGAGTGAGAATGAAGTTTTCTTTTTTTTCCTAATATTAATAATAAATAATTTTCTTTTAACATATATAATCAATTACTAAATTATTTTCAGGGACCTCTCATGTCCTATTCAGTCAATATGTTATCCTATGATTATAGCACGTTTTCTAATGATAAATGTAATTGGTAAGTTTTCTTTCAAATAATTATTTCAATTAATTATGATTTGTCTTTTATTTTAACAGATCAATTATTTGAGCATGAATCATCAAGAAAAAGTCAACGATCAATAACAAGAACTAGAAATATTGGTACAAATGAACAACATCCTTCGATCAGTATTTGATAAATAATGAATGATTTTATTTTCTATGTGAATCTTTATTTTTTAATATGTTGATATGATATTTTATATTTGTTTACAACATAAAAGATCATAATGTAATTTGAAATTCATTGGAAACACATGAAATTATATTTAAATTTATTTGATTTTGATGAATTATTAATTTCAATTTAAATTGGATCTATAGAAGTAACTTGTATTAGTCAAACATTAAACACAGGTAAATATTGTGAAAAGAGAACAACAAGTTTTTTTTTTCTAAAATAATAGATTATTCAACATATCAACGTTGATTTATTGAAATGAATAAACAACACGATATTTTAGTATATAAAATGAATGATGAATTGTATTCAAAATCAATGATTAATAATGAAAAACAAACATCAGTTGCTAAACTTGTTAATCAATTATGTTTTTTTTCCAATTAGACATTTACTCAATGTGCATGGTACGATAAAAAGTGATGGTAGATCGCGTATTAGTATTAAATGTGCTACACTAACATATCTATCACATTTATCAATAATTTGATTATCCTACTGTAAGTATGTTTAATGTTTGTTTGAGACTTTTTTTTGTAAAGTTTCAGCTCAGTAAAATACATTTATTTTATAATCCAAAATTATTTCCAACGTTGTAACAGTAGGAGGACTCAGATGAATAGGATAAATCTGATGAAGGAGCTTGTAGCAGAGTTTAGTTGACGTGGCTTCAATTGGTTAAGGTCTCAAAATTTCGGTGAAGGTTATCTGATGAGTATGACAATTTCATTATTAAATTGTTGAAAGGAAACAATATGAAACATATATATTAGAATATGAAAATTCAATAATGAAAATTTCTCGATATTGATTCAGCAACTTCAGTCCTATTCATATTTTTAATTTTTTTTCGAAACCAACAAAAGACTAGAACATTATCAGACTTGAAAAGATATCAAGTAGAACACTTTACTGAATAGGTTAGACATACAAAACTTTTGAACTCCATAAGCTGCATGTATACATGTATATATTAGAGATTGAAATTTTACAATCACACAGTTACATCAGAAAAAGTTCTAGGCTGAAGTACGAGTTTTATACATATTTAGTACAAAAGAGATAATGTTTTTTTTTCATTATGATATGAAATGAATTGTATTCCCTAAAAAATTTTTCTTTAGCCTACGAAAATTTCCGATTAAATATAGTTTTGTAATTGATATGGAATTTCTTAATAAGTAAAATGAAATTCCTATCTTTATATGACTTGTAATACATTATAATCTATCAAACATCTAGATATATGTTTTTATTTTATTTAAAGTATTACATATCTTTTATCTTTAGGTGAACATGGTGATTCATAGGGTGGGTGGGTGTGGGTGTGGGTGTGGATGTGGGTATAGATGGATGTGTGAGTATGCGTATCAGTATTGAAGAATATGATATCAATACTCACACCCACACCCAACTTAACAAAGATAAAGAATTCGAATACTTTGCGCTCCGTATACTAATTGCTATATTTTCTGAGTTTTGTTGTGTTTAGTTTTGATTTTTAGATGTCTACTATCTAACAAACATTTTTGTATGACGCTGTTCTTTGGAAAGCGGCTGTCAAGAAATGTTGATTGCAAGTATTGAATAAAAGATGCCAATGTGTAATACTTTGGTGTGTGTGCCGCGCTAGTAAAATCATGCTTTATACGAACGACAGTAAATCAATATAAGTATTTTATGGCCTAATAGAAGTTAACATTTTGTGCATCGCTCGTTGATACGTATGTCAAAAGTAAAAGCGATTTGAGTGTTTTATGTGGTCATGTTTTATCAATCATTATCTTCATTCGTAATCTCTGTCAACTGTTTTACTGCATTAGAAAAAGTATTATATTGCATTTAAACAGCTGAAGTTCTCTAAACTCATATGTTTCAAAATATACGATGTATATTCTCACAGTGTTCGTGACTGTTTGGCTATATCTCACGAATATAGTGAGTGGTTTGTATGTCAACACAACACTGGAAAATCCTTACCAAGGGACCCGAAATATCACTTGTTGGGTAAGCGGTGATATATCTCTTGTTCCCATTCCTGTTGATATTTACGATTTATCCTCAACAAATTTATCAATATCATATCCTTGGAGTGATATCTGTTATTTTGAAGCCTACAGTAGGATTCTTCCAAATGGCAGCCAATTGAATCAAATCGTTAGTAGTTTTTTATATGGAGAAAATACACGTCAACAGGAAAGCCGTAGATGTGGTCATAATTTTTCCCAGTCCACCACTCCGATTGGTTATGAAGAATGTACTCCATTTCCATACGAGTTCCATAGGAAATTTTTGTGCATATGCTCAACAGACTATTGTAAAATCACTCTTCTTTTATTATGTGGGTCAAACACAAGTGCTTTTCAACCGAATGGCAAAATAGCAATTTTATTATTCTCGAACATTGTGATGCTAACTACTCTACTTGTGTTACCAGTGTACAATCCATGATCTTCCCACCGCTGAATCTACCCATTCATGTTCCAGAACTAAATACTATCATTTCTTGCCGTATGAGGTCACCGGTCGTTCATTTATTACAGTGTTGTATGAGTCTTGATTCAAGAGTTGGGTGACTGATGACAACTATTTTAGAATGTTCCCAGCAAGGCACCACCTACGCTAATGCATACCAAAACATCAGTCAGACAAATGAAACCATTTATTTTCCTGTAAATGTAACTGCAGCGTATGAATATTTTGCAACACATGCTGTTATATGCTACTTCTATTTGAATGAAGATACAGGAGATTGGCTGCAATCTGGTGGGCTATACGAATCGTATAGTGGATATTTGTACTCAATCCTTGTAACCAACTCTGCTGGGTTTCTCCTTTTCTTCAATGAGAGTGCTTCTAGTGTGATCGCTCAACAAAATAGATATGTGATTTTTCCAAACTCGTCATACACCGAAACCTGGTGCATATGCACAACGAACAATTGCAACATCAATTTGACGACGTGCGTGTCCGGTTCTAACTATAGTTCTCCTTCCTCGTCATCGTCAACGATATCAATAACCAGTCGTAGTACAAACATGAGTATATTAAGCACATTGTCGAGTTCAGTAAAAAGAACAAGCACTAACACTATTCAAACAACAATATTCATTTCGAATGAAACAAGACCCATAGCGACGTATACTACTACTATTCACATGTCAACATCTACTATAAATGGAACTGGATTAGCAACAAGCTTTTCTAATTCTGCAACACAACTGTACATTGCCTCAATACAATTTCTCCGTCAACTTCAACAATTAATTTTCATATACGTTATACTTACGAGTTACTCTTAACTCGCTGCATCTTGGTTACAAACATTCAAACATGATAATCAGAAAAAAACCAGCTTTTTGGATGTACACGCGCTTGTGGATATAGGTGTAGCTGTTAGGGTGTGGGTGTGGGTGTAAGTTTATAGTCTTTTATTAGTAAACAGACTCTAGTTTGATCAAAGTCTTATGAAAAAAAGGATTTACTCTGTACTCTTCGATGCACCTCAAAAAGCTCTACAACATGCTATAGTTGATTTTTCCTTTCTCAATGTATTACCTAATTTGACAAAACTTTTTAAATATCGATATCACAACTTTTGGTCAATCCTAAGTACATTTTAGTGAGACAAATACAATTAAATGACGAAGTAGGAAAGGACTGAGTAAGTATCGAGTTCTTGGATTTGATTTTTAGAATTAATCAAACTAATTGATAATTTCATACTCTTAAACTATTTTTTTGTTGTTAATACCATACTCCAACGTACCAATACAGAGAAAAAAAACAAGTATTCATGTGTAACTCTTTATTGATTACCATTGATGAATAAGCATAGAGAGATATTGCAAGAGCCGACTGCTCGATGAAAAAGAAAGAAATTAATTAATTTTTATCGATTTTTTTCATCATTTTTCATCAAGGAAAGCGTAGTCATATGAAAATGGCAACAACGATTATTTTGTCAACAAGACTCCTTTGCTCTATAGAGAAAGGAAAAAGAAAAAGAATGTACTTTTTTCTCATTAACCTTGTTACTTGTCACACTTTAAATTGTGAGTGTCGATGAATGTCGTTATACATTTACACACTATGATAAAGTCATATTTCTTTTTTCAATTTTAGTTCGTTGCTGAGCATCTATTGTCAACTGTTTCTGCTAAACAGTTTTATCATCATGTCTTGCACTGAAGAAACTGATGATCATTGGAGTTATTATAATCCATCCAAATGGCATGAGCATTTTCCAGATGCTAGTGGTACGTCTCAATCACCTATTGATATTAAGTTTCACGAAACGGTCGCTCAACAATTTCCACCATTTGAGTTTTCTCCCGATCATCAACGTGAAATTAACTTTACATTGACAAACAATGGTCATCAAGTTGCTGTAACACTATCAAAAGATTCTGAAAATCTAAATCAAACGGATTTATCTTTTACTGGAGGTGGTTTAACTGGAAAATTTAATTTTGTTAATTTTCATTTACATTGGGGCAGAACAGACAGGCATGGGTCCGAACATGAAATTAATGGGCATACATTTCCAGCTGAAGGACATTTTGTCTATAAGGATCTTGAAACTCAACAAACTGCTGTATTGGCATTCTTTTTCTATGTTGTTCGTTCAGAAAACGAGGAAAATAGTGAATGGAAAAAATATACACATATTGCAAGTCTCTTAACAAATATCGGTGATACAATGAATTGTGCTTTAAATTTAAGTCATCTGATGCAAATCGAAAAAAGACGATTTTTTCGTTATATGGGCAGTTTGACAACACCACCATGCACTGAAGGCATTATATGGACAGTATTTCTCGATCCAATTGGAATAACTGAAGAAAGCTTAAATCTACTTCGCAATAACGTGATGCGAAGAACCTATCGACCAGTTCAACCAATAAATGACCGAATTATTCACAGAAACTATGGCCATTGACAGACGAATTATATTCTCGACTATTCTTGCCGTTTTGCTTTAAAAATAAAATAGACTATGCATGATTAACGTATATATATACACATTCAAGCACAACTAAAACTGTAGATCATCATAGTCCAGGTTAAAAGTGTGATTGTGAAGTGTCTGCAATACCCATGTCCTCAAGAGGAATATGTATTAAAGAATGAAGAATAATGAGCTAATACCAACAATGCAAATAAAAAATAAAGCGTGCATAGACAATATAAAAAATTTTCTATTCAAAATGCAGAAATTAGAAAGTTTCTTACTTTGATATTCAACTGTTTTGCAATACAATTGTAGTCTAAGAAAGTTTTTACTTAATATATTTTTTGTATTAGTTTAATGAAGCTATAGCGCATGTGTGAGTTTCACATTTCAGCTCCAAAAGGACTGTGTTGGCAAACTTTTTTATTAGTAAAAGTCGTTCATTGCCTTCTTGCTTGATGAAATTGGCAAAAAAGAGAAACGAGATTTTATTTCTATTATATCTTAGATAGTAAAATATTGAACAAAGAGAGAAATCTTGATTATACATGAATATGTGAGTATAAAAGTGCAAACAAATGCATACATAAACTCATTCTGTTTTATAAGACCTTGTTTCCTTCCGTCAAAGAACTAAAACACTTTCAGCATGTTTTTATCTAAAATGCTAATTAATTAATTAATTATGTTCGAACACTACAGCTATAAACAATGAAAGAGTGCAAGTCGACTTATATCGCATCTATAGACCTTCGTGTTTCTACATATTTTGACATGTTATATGGTTTCATATTACGATCGCATTGATACGTTTCGACTTAAAAACACGGATGAAACGCGTGCAAACGCGTTTCATAGATGCGTCTAAACGCGTCTGAATGCGTTTTACAATGCATTCAAGAAATAGTTTTCGTTAATCAAAGTTAAGAAATCTCAAAGAAAAATTGAAATCGATCGGATTTTTAAAAATAAAATATTTCAAGTTTGATCGTTGATAGTTTGTGATGATCACAGAGTGTTAGTAATTCAACTTAGTTATTTAGAATTCAATTAAGATGAAAATTTATTTTATGAGATATAAATCAACGTAGGAATTTAATACATTGTTTTCAGCGGCGTAGCCAAGGAAGGAACAAATAGAGAATTGCCCGTTGATATTTTACTTTTTCAGAATTGTCTATTTTTGAATTAGTTAGTAACACTATTTTTTTTTTCCATCTGAATCACACATGCACTTTTTGTTTGTTCTTTCTGTGAAGAATGAAGAAAAGAGGAAGATTTTTGCAAACCACGGACTATCATGCTGACATACTTGCAAAGAAGGCTTCACTTTTTTTTTGTTTATCGATTCATACTTTGTTTCCAAAAGTATATCATAGTAAAGAAAGACAACACAGCCATTATATAGCTCAGAGTAAAAGACTGTATACTGTAAGCTAAGGAGATTGATCATAGTTGGATCAAATGAATGCTGTCACTATCAAACCAGCTAATTAGAAATATGAGCTACCAATAGTATACACACATCGAGATATTCGAGTTTCAAGAAGTTAACAGTTTATTATGTGCTCACACTACGAAATTTCATCAATGATTAGTTTTCTTTTTCGTCATGGTTGGATGGAGCACGACCATTTACATAAGAAAAAATAATATCACGCATATTAAAAAGTAATTTCTACGATGTCTAAGATAGCATTTTTTTACTTATAGGGGTAATAAATAAACAATTTTAATTACTATCAAATTGCTTTTGAATATATGTGATATTGCTTCTCCTTATGTAAATAGTCGTGTTTCATCCAACCATGATGAAAAAAGAGAACTGAAGATTGATAAAATTTCGTAGTGTGTGCACATGACAAACTGTAAATATGTTAAAACTTAAACATCACAATCTGTGTACGTTAGTGGCAGCTCATGTTTTAAACTAGTTGATCTGTGAGTGAGAGCATTCATTTGATTCGACTATGAGCAATCTCCTAAATTTGCCATTGCATCGTCTTCAATTGTTAGTTAATACAAAAAAAAAACTAGCAAAAGACACACAGCGTTGGATTCTTCTACAAAGCCAAAACTCTGTTTACAAAAAATATACGCAAACAAATCATATATCCGCCTGGCAAAAAATAGTTGCACACAGTATTTTCAACATATTATTGGCACAACCTGGCCTCCGATTGCGAGTTTTTAAAAAAATAGGAATCCTTAGAGGATCAAGTTTGTCTAAAATATAGGATTTTCGATAAAACTGGCAAAAATATAGGATCTATTATACATTGTTTCTGCTCAATTGTCTGCTTTTTGTTAACTTCTCTGCTCGAA